ACATCACTACCACTGTGCTATCCCTCCCTTAAAAAATACTAAACAATGCTGAACGGCCAGCATTGTAATCTATAATACAATATGTATATAATACAGTATAATATATTATATATAACATAATATATTATACATAATGCATGTACATATTTGTATATATAATAGTGTTATATATCACAGTATGTAATATGACATAATATAATGTAATATAATATAATACTAAAAAGCAAGTTAAGCCAGTTAAATCCTGGTTAAGCAGAGATCCCAAAGAGCCTTCCCTTCTTACACACCGCTGAGGAGGAAAAGTTACAATTGCCATTTTTTTGAGCTTTGCTATATTCAAATCATGGAATTGAACAACTTGCAAATTTTTGATAGTATCTGGTTTAATCCTCCGCTTCTTCTGTTAACCAGTCCAAACACTATGGAAAGTTTCGAAATGGCAACATCTACAGAGTTAAATCTAGTGGAGATATAAGATAAAACTAAAAGGTCAAACAGGAGAACTTTAAAGGCAGTTTAAACATTAAAACCTAAACAAGAGCTCGAAGTTACCTGTCACCACTACCTTACAACAGAGTGGACCACTTTCTCACACCACACGTTTTATAAACACATTTCATTTGGCGCACATTACTTCGGGAATAGCCATTACAGCAAAACCTGGTCTAATGAAAAAAAAAACTGATTCAGGGCGATAATCTCGTCATATTTCACAATTCCACCGTATAGATTTGTCATTGAAATCTTCAACCACAAAAAGGAATAACCTTTTTCACTCAGCAAGAAGTGGATACTAATTTAACATGAAAATACTGAAACATTAACCTTTCGGAGGCTGTGTTATCCACCGCGCCAATTGGGGCCCTTGTCCTGTCTTTCCCTCCGCCATTTTTTTACCTTAACAGTGCTATCAGCAATCAGCCGTCAACAGGAATGATCTAGGGTGCACAAATAGGCACTGAACCCAGTTGAGCTGATCTTGCAGTCGGAAATCACACTATCTTTTATTCACTGACTATTATTTTCCCATGGAATTGTATTATGTGCAATATAACTACAGAGATGCTAAGATATGAACAAAAATCGGAACCGTTAGAGTAAAAAACTGGTTGACAGAAAGATGTAGCAAGCGTCTCAGTTAGTGCACTGGACAACACGTGAACCCAGAGAAAGGGTGATCGCGGGTTTACCTGAAGTTCCTAATTTTGCTCGTATTTCAGCATTATTGTAATTGTATTTCACATAATGCTTTGCTATAAAAAAATAATAAGCAATAAATAAAAGTTAAACTTACACATTATTTCAATCTGGGAATGCTTATAGACATGTGAGAACTTTGAACAGTAATCAATACGGATATTTATGGAAACCAAATATCAGTAGATAATAGTAACCACTACCGATAGATAAAGCTGTTAGTGCTGGTCGATCCCTGAGGGTCAATGAAACATGCACTTAACTTTATCAAGAATCGTAGAGGTACAACTGTAGAACGTTGCTGAAAAACGGCTGGTCTTGAGAAATCGGTAACAGTGATTAAATTACCAGTGAACACTCTGAGACGCCAGCTAGTTTGTAACCGTTGGTATGACCGTCCATGCGAAACGGACAATTGCATAATATGGCATAACGATAGGGAGGGTGATTGTATGAGTTCGGGTACGATTTATCTGCTATCTTTTAAAGTGTGCGGGGAGGAATACGTTGGCAGGGTTGACTACTCCATGTCTGTGTAAAACAGCATCTATCGTGGAAACTTAGAATCGAACAGACATCCTATCAGGAAAGCCAGCTAAGAGTAAAACAAAACCAGGATCCACTACAGTCCTTATATGAAACTGATCTCACTGTGGCAAATCCCCCCCCCCCAACTTAAAATGGAAATTATGCTGAGACCATACAACCAGTGAATACGGGCTATCCAAGTATCCAAATAAGAATCAAACAGAACACTACACTAGGTTAGCATAGGACACCCAGACATAAAGAAAATTTTGCAGTAAAAGTCGTTATCCTCGCTTAGCGCGTAAAACTCTTGGAGCATTTTGGTTACATTTCAATGCCTTGGGACCATGCGTAACCTCGCGCCATACCTCAGGCTGACTTAGTGACCTGGGCCAGGCACATTGCTCACCCAAGTAAGACTCTATGCGGCTGGTTTCCAAAAATCACTTGAGGAGTTACAAAGAAAACGGTGTTTAAGAAAAGATGTTCACAATGCAAATAAAAATTTATGCAATAAGTTTTATCTGGTGAGGCTAAGCAAATGTTTGACTGTGTAGATTGCATCCCAATTCCCTTTCTGAGGTATGAAAAAGGCGGAACTGTCGAAACATCAGCACTGCCAATGAAAAAGTACTGTTTCAACAACCTCGTGTTTGCTCATTAAGAAAGTAGTGAATAGCAGAGGTGACTGAATGCATATCTGGCTTATACAATGACTTGGGTGACCTACCGATGTGTTACGTAAGTGCTGCTATCCCGCCAATCTGGTACCATTTTCGGACCCCGGAATCACAAAAGGTTTGGTGGGCCTGGAGAGTGGAATTAAATCAGCAACCGTTCCAACGCATATTGCCGAGTCTCACTAACAACTGCGCTGTGCTGTTAACGATGTATACGCTTGTTTTTGTTGAACAATGTCCAACTTTCGCTAGAGTTTCCGTTCGAAGGTCTCTGATGAAAATGACCTTGGTTCCAGAAGCATTAAACATTCGTACTAACGTTCATCACCAAAACGATTGCGCGAACTTGTTCTCAATGTTGCAGTCGTTTTTTTTCCTTCATATGAAATGCACTGAATAAAAGGAGTGCACTGACGAGCGGAGAACACTTTGAAAAATCGACAGGCCAGTCAGTGAAAAGCCAACCAGCCAGCCAATCGACGACGACAAGGGTGCGACAAGTGTGTTCGGAGGATATTCATTCTTCTCACGCGATATCACCAAACACCAAGAAAATTAGTACGTGACTCTAACGTGATAAAACGACACAAAAAACTCATGGGAAGCTAGAGAAAGTCAAGTTCGAGTGTGGTAATACCGTTGTCTATCAACAGTAAGCAAATCTGCTTTCATCATGTTTAGCAGTTTATATTTACTTCATGTGATAATATACACAAGGCCATTAACTTGACTTGGCACTGAGCCCATCAAGCTTCCCATACTCCCACATCTGGAAATTGTTATCACAGCTGTCTTGGAAAAGCTCTCTTCGATCCACAAAGGGCAGTTATGTTTGTGGTGAAAACTTGGGAACCTCATGACACAGCTCTCCTAGTATTTTAGAGAGAATCTACTCGATCAGCAGCCGAATCCAATCGCAAATCCGGAGGTCTTCGTAGATTATGGATGCGAGATGTCAAAGCGAATTAAAGAAGTGCTAGAATCCGCATATGTGATTCTGGATCGCATAAATAAAAATAGTAACAAAAAAAACGATAAAATACGTCCCTTCCAGAAGATCTTCTATCATCTATGATTTCCAGGCACTGTTCTTTGATCATCATCTCGCGGACCACAATAACAACCACGTGCATGCGCTTTCAATGAACAATAGTGCCAGAGAAGCCCTATGATGAATGAACTTGATCGTGCCTTGCGATTATTATTGAAGTAAATAAACATATATGAAACGCAAGGATACGGTAACGTAATTCGAAATAGTTTAGTTGTTTCAGTAAACACAATCCACCACGACGAAGTGCACTCCAACCCGACACCGAGAGAGAAGGAGAGAATACCAATCGCTGTCGAACAGCAACACTCAGGTTCACTAGCAACAGCATCTATTCAAAAGTCCAATCGATTAATCCTAGGCATATTTCAAGCTGTAATTCGATTAGTATGAGGAGCGGTGGTGATTTGATGAGATACGTCTTCATTCCTTGCACATCCTATCCTTTCGGTGCTTAACCACCTCATTGTAGATGGGAATCGAAAAAAAAATTAAGCTAGGCATCGAAGTGCCACGTACAGCTGGAACCCATTCTGCCACTAAGATCATTCAAGCAGAGAAAAGAGTTTGACATTTCCATCCGGAAGCAGTGCAAGGCTCGGTGAGCTACTTGTCGCTACTTTCTTCCCTAAACCAGAAAGGAAACGGGCAACATACCAAAAAGTGTGACGTGGATTTGACGTAAATTAGGTGAACATTCGAATAACTCGAAGAGTAACAGGGTTACGAATGATGTAATTGAAGTGGGATCTTAATAACTATGTCTTATGTCTTCAAAAACAGTTTAATTCTAAACATAGACAGCTTTCATGACGATCGATCATACAAAAGAACCACACCGATCAATACGCATTAAATGCATAAGGCTCTCGTTAAGAATAATATCATACTTTCGTAATGGAACACATCAGGACTATTTTTACAAGCTTTTAAATATTGAACGGTGAGAATTCTTAGAGACCGAAAATTAACTGCTTGCATGAAATAACGCAAGCAATGAAGCTTCATTTCAATTGTTCTGTAGGCACGAAACCAAAAAAAAATAGTCTTATATCAAATTTAGCTCCTTAACCTTAAGATCCACATAAGAATGACTTGACTGAATACCAAATTTAGTTCCTTAACCTTAAGGTCCATATAGAAATGATTTGACTCAATAACCAAGACCTTGGCAAATTCAAGCGCTGTACACGAAAAAACACAAAACTGTATCAACCACGAAGATTAAACTGCGGTACAATGAGAGAACGAGAATCAACTAGAACAAACGGTGTAAAACAGACGACGTAAGGCTACAAAAGACCATAAAGGGTCGCAGTCAGCGATCCAGCCACGAATTTCAATGGACGGTAGATATGGCTGGGAAATATCAGTTGTAACAAAACACGCATAATTTTCACATTCGGATAATCGAAAAACGCATTAATAATAGAAAAGATTTTTCAATCAATGACACAAAAAGCAACAACGCCCTGTAACAAACATTCGATGGGCCTGGTGTGCGAATTTCGCTACCCAGCGGCTAATACGCTGAAAATATTCGCTCAACAGAGAAGACGATGTTTTAAAGTCGCATGGACATCATGGATATCGATTAACGACAAACGAGTAATAAATTCTAGATAAGCGGAAAGCGAATCCCGTAGGTGCGATAGACGGACGGACGGACGGACGGCCGGATGGACAGACGAGAGCTCGATGACGACGTTAGTGCGGCCAGAGTGCCGACGACTAGCGTTGTTGGCTAGAGGGCGTGCACTTGCGTACGATTGCCCGAAGAGAGAAGAGTGTACCTGCGCGCGGCACTCTGCAGAAACGCAGAGCAGCGCGTCAAGTAAGCAAAGAACACGACTGGCAGCAGCTGCCAGCAGTACTACCGAGTACTGCGCAGAAGCCCAACCCGTACGAGGTTCGGTTTTTCGGTGAGGACGATTGAACACGATGGAATACGATGACGTCATCAGGAAGTTGATGAATGAACCCACGTGATCCGAAACGTGAACTAAGTGAATAAAGCCGAAAACGAATAAAATCTGGTTGCACGGCTTTTTTTTCAGGAATAGAAGGGAATGAAAGGATATAAACATAAAAATGGACCATGGATATTACGAATCTTTTTTCTATTTTTACATCGCCTGTCGTCATCCTCATAAGCTCTCTAATGTCTGCTTTTCCATTCCACATTCAAATTGATACTTGAGACTTGGTACTTGAATGGTCCATCCTCACTGGTTTTGCAGACAACAGCATAATCTCTATTTTTCGGAGATTTGCTGGCTAAGCCATTATGGTTCCCTGATGTCCCGAGGTCAGCCTGGCCAAAGTCTATCCCAGGTCTTCACCACCACAGGCAGTCGCAGCCCTTATGGATCAGGGAAACATTTACCACCATACGACTTTGATAGCAGGACGGTGGCGGATCCCGGTATTGGTTTCCACTTAGCTAAGCTTCCTGTTAGAAACACCTGACTCCTTCTCAGCTTGGGAGACACTGCCAGGCGATGAATCCCTCGCTATACATCGCAGTCCGTCACCAAGGAATACCTCCCAGCCACGATGAACTGTTGGGAGGCCACATTCAAATTAGAATTTGTAACCTCTTACTAAAAATAACTTTTTTCAAAAATTTATCGTGGATATTAACAGTTATTACAAAAACTTTTTGCTTTCTATTAGTACAAGGAATTTATATTTTTCTGTAGGTATTCTTACAACTAAAACCACCTACATTTCATAGTTACCTATTTGGATACTTGGATGGCCCATTTTCACAGGTTGTGCGAGCTCAAGCATAATTTCCCTTTTTTTGGAGTTTTGCTGGTTTATCCATTGTGGTGCCTGGTGTCTCGGGGTCAGTCTAGCCATTGTCTGCCCACCTTCGTTTCATAGGATTTGGAAATGTTCCTAATTTAAGTATTTCGAATTCTCTTTTTTGTCAGCCAAATAGCGTCTTCTACGTTCCCTACTAGTGAGAGCTAGCAAAATCTCTCAATCCAAACCTATCCTATACTAAAGCAAGTGTTAAATTTGCTTTGCGACTATAGCGGATTCCTCCTTTTAATTTTCGAACTGTTTTATGTTTCTTTTAATAGAGCTCCATCTACCACTTCCGGTGGTTGGAAATTTCCAGAAATTCACTTTCTGTGATACATTTTCATCCAAAAGTGGTACACATACCCATACCTGTACGAATTCTCCTAAAACTAGTATTTTTTCAGCTGAATTATTTCGACAATAAGAGAAAGTTATGCGCTCAACCAATGCTCATGGCTGACTGTCTAGTGCAATAGCGTATATTTTGGAAAGTTGTATTTACTGAATAAACCCGTGCGTGATACGCTGCGTCGATAAATAGTGCGGCACACTGCACGTCACCTCACTGTCTTCAGTAAGGGTCAATTCAGACCTGAATCTGAGAATGATGAGATCGGGCAATGACTTGACATGAATTACAACGCACGGTTGGTGAAGGACCGCAACGCCTCCGCTCAGCCCGGGTCTGAATCGGATTCAATTCGAAGGGAACGTAGAAGAGAGCGCAGCGTGCTGTCGTGATTCAGTCGCTCCCGTTATGCATCAATAAACAGTGGCGTGTGTTCCAAAGCATAGTACACGAGATGTTTGGTCGTTTGTGCAAAAGGAAAAGGGAAAATCCACCTCAGCTCTGGGTTGACGGATCGATATATTATGAACAAAGTGTTTTTTTTCACTCAAGAATATTTGAAAAGAGGTGTTAGAAATCTTCATCTTAGCTGAAAAGATGAAAGAAGTGCACTGGTCGGATCAAATGTGTATGGCTAGCGTGGGAAGATCTCGATACAATTAAGTTGGACGTTTTTAAGACTACCAGATGTGCAGCGATTACGGCAGTACATCATTTAGAGAACACCCTTTCACCACATAATTTTACAAATCATCAACTATTACGTCGCTCACTAAGAGTAGTGATAATTGTCGGCTAACGAGCAGATGAGAATCTGTACGCATTAAAAGTTAATCGTTGGTGTTCGAGGTGTTTTTACCTTTACCTTTGCACTTCCAGCTGCTGATGAAGGACTCAAAAAACATCTTGGGGCTGCGACGAAGAACAAACAAACGTCTTCATTTCGTGCGCTCGGTAGCAAGTTCAGCAATATCGCTTCCGAGCCCGTTCCAAGCCTCTATTCATGGTTTCGGATTCTAAATCAGTTTCGTTGTTTTGGTAAAAGCATTTCTAAATACTGAATCTTGTGGGAGAAGGCCAACCATCTTCCGTCAGAGCGATACTATCCGCAGGCAAAACTTTCTGAGCTACTTCAGCTGTTCTCAATTAAGGGTCACTTCAGTCGTCTCATCACTGTTCATAACAGCGTAAGCGCCCATTTCATCGACTTCTACTGTTTAACATCTTCGAAAAAGAAAAAAATCAGAAAATTTTCCTGTACGTGTCTGTATTTGTCTGAATTAATGCGAGAAAATACAAAGAAAAACTGCTAAGATTTATTAACTGTTTTCAGTTCATCACACAACGCTGTTCAACTCCACTCTTCATTAATCAGTTCAAACTTTTCGCTGACAGTTGTAAAGAAATGACATAATTTACAGAACTTTACCTTTTTATTTACTGCCTATTCTTTTTAATGGCAAGGTAGGTTGCGAAATATAACTTTCATAATGCTGAGATATTTGATATTATTTACTGCCCATTCTTTTTAAGGGTTAAATAAAAAGGTTAAGATTGTGATTATAACTATAGCCTTAGCTTAATTGGGTTCAATGCCGATTTGGGCTCCCCAGATCAATCCCGCTGACGGGTGATTGCTGATGGCAAAAGATCCATAGAACTATATGAGAGACAGGCGAAACGAAAGACCCGCATGGTGTGGTGATGAACGCGTTACTCCCCGGAAGGAACCCCGGAAGGAATAAGGGATAATAGCGCGTTCGTTCCCCACCGCAGACACCTGCTGACCGGAGTTTTGCAAATATTTCAGCATTATAAAATTTTTTTTACAGAATTGTAAACCAGAGAAATTCATCACCTTGGCTTCATCTAGAAGCATTTAACAGCACATATGAGAAAATTAAAGCAATTAAGAGCTATGGTGATGCTATTTAAAAATTTCAAGGCAGCATCATTTAATTACACACCCTACGTTGCTTATCGTAAAACGCAACTACATTTGATACGTACTGATTGAAGATGTTCGGCTGCTACAATTGGTTACAATCACCATTTGGCCATTGTAATCACGAAGCACAGTTATAGTTTATACTTTGTTATACGGTATAAAAACAGACGAACTCCCAACGAGGAAAAAGTCACTACTGCCACTTTTCGCTGCAGATTTCTGTCAAGTGACACGGGCAGTTGCTTCTTTTAGCCATTTTCTGTCACCCAGGAAATGAATGGGATGCGATGCTTGACGACGTAGTGGAACTTATAAGCCAAATTGATTCACGAAACCTATCTAATTTAGTTTCAAAGCTGCACAATTTAAAGAGCTTGTGGATCGATTTGGATGAGTGGGAGTTCCAATTAGAACTAACGGTCGTTAAGTGCGTCAATGTCTGCGATCCCACTACTTGCACTTACTTTCCCCTTGGCCACCCTCCGTAAGTCTCCCCTAGGATTAAAATAGTTATTCGTATATCTTACCACCAATTTACGTATTTTGATATTTTCAAGCTTATCGCTGTTGAAATGAATGAATCTAGACACCAGTGCTTTTGAGGATCTTTTTGTTACTCGTTTCTTGCCAAGTAAACCTGGCAAGGGTCAATTTATGCTGTTTGAAGGTCGTTTGCTGCTCTTTTCAATCAAAAGCGGTTATCTAACCACTTTTTTTTCCTCACTTAGAAGTGCTTCTCTGTTTTTTGAATTTTCATGGTAGTCAAAACTAATTTGAATTGTTATGCATGAAGAGAATTTCATATGAATAGAGAGCATTACAGATAAAACCAGTCACTTTATGCAAGCCAACCTCTTCTTATGTGAAACTATTGTAGTCCGTAATTAGTTGCACATTAACACTCTGGGGAGTTTTAGTAGCACACTTTACCTCTTCATCGTCCGGAAACTCCCCAATCGTCTTTGAGTATTGGTATCTTCGTCTTTTTCTCTACTATCGTTGCCCTAGCAGCGCTTGTGGCGCAGTGATTGGAGGCGCCACTGCGACACACACGGGGAATCGATCTCCGCGCCCATGGCCCACCAAGCCTTCCATCCCTTCGGGATCGGCAAATTGGTTCCAGACTTGTCTGGGAGGATAGTAGCACTGGCTCGATACATCGGTAGACCACCGTGGGTTATTGCAAAGGCCAGATATGCATTCAGTCATCTCCAGCGATACCTAATGAAATCGAATGTGTGGTGCATCCCTCAGGGATTGATCAACGCCGAGAGCTTCATCTTTTATCCTTTTATTGTTGCCATAAAGGCAATTGTGCTTAGAAACGCAAACAGTCTGAAGAAGAACACTTGGACGACGATCCTCACAGAATCCCATGCAACGGCCAGGCATCTCCAGCTTGACTCAAATACGCATAGATCGACGGAAGCGGATGATGACCATGGCCATTTTCATCACCTTGTAATGACCGAAATACGGTAAAAACGACGTTCTCTTACCAATGAAACCATTTCTAAGAAGAGCCTTATGCTCTCTAGTTTCCACTTCTAGCACTCCGTTTCTCTTTGACTTCACAGCAAAATTTAGGATTTCTGGAAGTGTTTTAGTTAAAGCGCCTTTGTTTGTGTTAGATTTTCGTGCCCGTAAATGATGTAATTTACTACAGCTTATACAGCTTACGGTACGCCTTTAAGTTGTCCTGACGTGCTTGGCACGTTTTAGCTTGGTCGATCCAAAGCGTGTGGCCGCAAAAGCCTTTGCCGGGTAGATCAGTTAGCAGCGATCCGCCTATAACTAGGAAAACTTTAAAGAAATTTCCCAGGTCATCTTATTTTATAACAATCTTCATT